GTAGAGACGGGGTTTCACCATGTTGACCAGGATGGTCTCGATCTCTTGACCTCGTGATCCACCCGCCTCGGCCTCCCGAAGTGCTGGGATTACAGGCTTGAGCCACCGTGCCCGGCCCTAAGTGGCCATTTTTAAGTGAACAGCTCAGTAGTGTTAAATGTGTTCACATTGTAGTGAAACAGATCTCGAGAACTTTCGTCTTGCAAATCTGAAATTCTATACCCATCAGGCAACAGCTCCCCTTTTCCTTCTCTCCACAAGCCCTTACTACCCACGATTCTACTTTAAATACCTCATGTAAGTGAAATTACACAATAGTTGTCCTTTTGTGACTGGCTTATTTTACTTAGCATAATGTCCTTAAGATTTGTCCATGTTGTAGCATATAACTGGATTTCCTTTTTTTTTTTTTAAGGCTGAATAATATTTCACTGTATATATGTACCACATTTTCTTCATTCCATTTATCCACTGGCAGACATTTGGGTTACTGCCTCCTCTTGGCTATTGTGAATAGTGCTGCAGTGAATGTGGGTATACAGACATCTCTTCAAGACCTTGCTTTCAGTTCTTTTGGATGTGTATCCAGAAGTGCGATTACTGGATCAAATGGTAGAGAGCTATGATGTTTAATTTTTTGAGGAACCTACGTACTATTTCCATAGCATTTTCACCATTTTACACTCCACCAACAGTGCATAAGAGTTCCAGTTTCTCTACACCAGCACTTACATGGTAGCTGGTCTCAGATACAGAAGGATAAGAGACAACAATTCATTTATATTATATCAAAACAAATAAAACATCAAGCATGAATAAGATCAAAAGAGTCAGAATGTCAGCTGTACAAATATACTACAGAAAGCAAAATCAAAGCAAGAAAAAATGTCCTGTAAAAGACAAAGAACCTATCCTGAAAGAAACATAACTCAAGAAATAGAAGAAATTTTCTTAAAACTGTTCAACTGTATAACCACAAAACTTCTTATTAACATGAATTTAATAAACAAAAATTCAGTAATGAGATGATAAACAACAAAATGAAATAAAAGAGGATATTATAGAACTAAAGAACTAAAAAATAAGGATTAAATTATAGAGTTAATAAATTTTAAAATAGCAAAAGAAGAGAAAAGACACCACTGAAAATCAAATTATTGACATACAGGGATGGTTTGAGATACTCAGTGATCTAGGTAAAAAAGAAAATCATTTAAGAAATTAGAATCTTTGAGGTTGGAGGATCACTTGAGCCCAGCAGGTTGAGGCTGCTGTTAGCCATGTTGTACTACTGCACTCCAGGCTGGGTGACAAAGTGAGACCCTGTCTCAAAAAATGAAAGGAAGAGAGAGAGGAGGGAGGGAAGAAGAAAAGGAGGGAAAGAAAGAAAATAAAGATATTGGAATCTCATAGAAATGAAATACAAAGATGATTAAATATAATTAGTGAATTAACACCTCTGAATTAGAATGTGGAGTTCTAGAAAGAAAGAACAGAGAAATGAAGGGGGAAGAAAACATCAGTGAAATGGTTTTTTAAATTTTCCGAGGATAAAAGAAGCTGGGTTTCTAGACTGAAAGAATGACAGTAAAATGGATGAAAAGAAACATACCAGGGTTATCATTGTGAAATTTTATAACTGGTAACAAAGAGATCTTACAAGCTTCCGGAGAGGAGAGAGGATATCATATACAAAGGAATTAAAACAGTTTTGAACTTCCTAACAGCAACACTGGAAACTATAAACAAACAGTGCCTTTAACATTCCTAATTCTATCTAATCAAACTATCAATCAAATATGAGAGTAGAATGAGAACTTTTTAGACATTTGCTTTCCATGTATCTGTTTTCAGAAAGCTACTAGACAAGGATGCCCATTTTCACTGCTATTACTGAACATAGTACTGGAAGTCCTAACTACAGCAGTCAAACAAGAGAAGGAAATAAAGGGCATCTAAATTGGAAAGGAAGAAGTCAAATTGTCTGTGTTTGCAGATGATATAATCTTATATTTGGAAAAACCTAAAGACTCCACTGAAAAACTATTAGCACTGATAAATACAGTAAAGTTGCAGGATACAAAATCAACATATGAAAATCAGTAGCATTTCTATTTGCCAACAGCAAAGAATTAGCCAGGTATGGTGGCACGTGCCTGTAGTCCCAGCTACTTGGGAGGGTGACGCATGAGAATTGCTTGAACCTGGGAGATGGAGGTTGCGGTGAGCCAAGATGGAGCCACTGCACTCCAGCCTACTAGGCAGCAGAGAGAGCCTCAGTCTCAAAAAAAAAAAAAAAATCTGAAAAAGAAATCAAGAAAGTAATCACATTATAATAGCTACAAATAAAATAAAATACCTTGGGATTGACTTAACCAAAGAAGCAAAAGGTCTCTACAATGAAAATTATAGAATACTGATGCAAGAATTTGAAGAGGACACAAAAAATGGAAAGATATTCCATGTTCATGGATTGAAAGAATCAATATTGTTACAGTGTCCATACTCCTCAAAGCAGTCTACAGATTTTTTTGCAATCCCTATCAAAATACCTATGACATTCTTCACAGAAATAGAAAAAACAATCTTGAAATTTATATGAAATTGGCCAGGTGTGGTGGCTCACACCTGTAATCCCAGCACTTTGGGAGGCCAAGGCGGGTGGTTCATTTGAGGTCAGGAGTTCAAGACCAGCCTGGCCAATGTGGTGAAACCCTATCTCTACTTAAAATATAAAAATTAGCCAGGCATGGTGGTAGGCGCCTGTGATGCCAGCTACTTGGGAGGCTGAGGCAGGAGAATCTCATGACCTCAGGAGTTAGAGGTTGCAGTGAGTCGAGATTGTGCCATTGTAGTCCAGCCTGGGTGATGGAGTGAGACTCCATCTCAAAAAAACAATTATATGGAATTACAAAAGACCCAGAATAGCCAAAGCTATCCTAAGCAAAAATTACAGGAATCACATTCCTGTAATTCTCACATTACAAGAATCACTTCAAATTATACTACAGAGCTATAGTAACAAAAACAGCATGGTCTTGGCATAAACACAGACATATAGGTCAGTGGAACAGAATAGAGAACCAAAGATAAATCCATACATCTTCAGTGAACTCATTGTTAACAAAGGTACCAAGAATATACATTGGGGAAAGGACAGTCTCTTCAATAAATGGTGCTAGGAAAACTGGATATCCATATGCAAAAAAATGAAACTAGACCCCTGTCTCTTGCCATACACAAAAATCAAATCAAAACGGTTAAAAATCTAAATCTAAGACCTCAAACTATGAAGCTGCTACAAGAAAACATTGGGGAAAGTCTCCAGGACATTGATCTGAGCAAAGATTTCTTGAGTAATACCCCACAAGCACAGGTAACCAAAGCAAAAATGGACAAATGGGATCACATCAAGTTAAAAACTTCCACACAACAAAGGAAATAATCAATAAAGTGCAAAGACAACCCACAGAATGAGAGAAAATATTTGCAAACTACCTATGTGACAAGGGATTAATAACCAGAATATTGAAGGAGCTCAAACAACTCTATAGGAAAAAATCTAATAATCTTAATTTTTTAATGTGCAAAAAATCTGAATAGACATTTCTCCAAAGAAATCATATAAATGCCAAGCAGCTATATGAAAAGGTGCTCAACATCACTGATATCAGAGAAATGCAAATAAAAACAATGAGATGTCATCTCACCTTAGTTAAAATGCCTTGTATCCAAAAGTGAGGCAGTAGCAAATGCTGGCAAGGTTGTAGAGAAAGAGGAACTCTCATATATCTCATATACTGTTGATGGGAATGTAAATTATTTTTATTTTTTCTTTCTTTTTTTTTTTTTTTTTAGAAGCAGAATGTCTGAAGTGAGAACAAAGGGAATGTAAATTAATACAGCCACTATGGAGAACAGTTTGGAGGTTCCTCAAAAAACTAAAAATAGGGCTACTATACAATCCAGCAATCGTACTCCTAGGTATATACCCATAAAAAAGGAAATCAGCATATTGAAGAGATATTTGTGTTCCCATGCTTATTGCAGCACTGTTCACAATAGCCAAGATTTGGAAGCAAGCTAAGTGTCCATCAAGAGATGAATGAATAAAGAAAATGTGGTACATACA